TCAATTTAAACTCTTGTCTCCCTTTCAGTTGTGTGACTTCATTGAGACTCACTACCTGGATGAACAGGTGAAAGCCATCAAAGAGCTGGGTGACCATGTGACCAACCTGCGGAAGATGGGGGCACCAAAATATGGCATGGCAGAGTACCTCTTTGACAAGCATACTCTTGGGGACAGTGACAATGAGAGCTGAAGTCTTGCCAAGAGCCACCCTGTGGGTTCAGTGGAACTCCTACTTTACTGTCCAGCCATGCATGCATCTTCAGCTATCTAGATAAGCAGTTCTCATACTCTGTACCAAATATCAGCCCTCTTTTCTCTTGTGTTTTGTGCATTGCCCTCCATCCAATAAAGTGACTTGGTTCAAGTTGGCTCTTTGTTTCTCTTGAGGGTTAGGCCTGTACTTGCAGGATTGTGCTCCACAGTCTGTGATAGTCATCTCAAGTAGGGTATGGATGAAGGAATATATTGGAGTGATCAGGTTTTACTGGCCTAGTGTGTTTATAAAAATGGCTCTCTGCCAATCCAGTGGGATCTCCTGCAGGACTTGCTCAGTGACCAAAGTTGGGTCTTAAATGCCTTTGCCACCTAAGCTGTTGCTGTAATAAATGCTCAAGGGAAGGAAGGCTTGGGTGTCTGGGCTTGCTGAATCTGTCCTTGTGCATTCAGGTGAGGCTACTCATGGGGTTTTAATGCTTCACTGAGCATTGTGCCTAACAAATGGCAGTAGTGTATGGAGAACATACATGGAGAATCAGCTTCAGAGCTGTATACTGTTGTCAGGCTGGACTGGAACTGCCTGAAGGACATGGTGTCTGGAGCTGCAGTGGGCAATGGTGACATCTGCCTGGGTGTAGCAGCTGTATTCAGGAGGCAGAGGGGGGTTGGCAGCTCTTGCGAGGGTGTTGGGAGGAGATGGGGGAGGTAGATGAAACTCATCATGTGCACCCATGTGATACAGGAGACTTCTTGTTTTAGACTACACAAGTAGGAGAACAGGTTTCTATAAATTCCTATTGTTGCATGGAAACAAAAATGAGGGAATAAAATGGATGGTCCTGGACTTCAGCCTTTCTTTTATTTTCTTTTTGGAAGACAGTAAGACGTAGCGCTCTATGCTGTCTGCTACCATCCAGGTGGCCATTTCTCTGAGCTCTGTCAAATCGGTGGCAGATGTGATGTGGAACTCTAAAAGGAAGCAGTGTGCTTGGCATGTACCATGGACTGCAGCCACCTGTTCTGCTGGGCACTTGCCCTGCTTTATCCTGTTACTTTTCCAGTACTGGAAAACACCAGCTAGACAAGACTTCAGGAAGTGTTAGGGGTCTGCATTGCAAGTGATGTGACTTGCTTCTGACCCTCTCCCTGGAGTATCTTCGTCAGTAGCGCAAGTCCTGCCTGAGACTTGTAATGGGTCTTGTGACAGATGTTGATACAAAACCCAAGTTTCAATTCTTTCTGTGATGAGGAAGTGGGAAGTATGCTGATGAGCTATATTCTGCTTCTGTTTTGGGTTATGCCTGCATTTTGTGTTCCTCAGGCTGGTACCTGCTGAGCTACTGCTCTGCTGTTAACTATCCGTAATACTTAACTCTCCAAGTCTTACTTGTTCTTTTGCTACAGACTAAAAGGGTTTTTGTTTTGTTATTGTCACAATACTGAAGTTGCACCTGCTACTGTACCTGAGGGCAATAACAGGGTGTCCCTAGCGCTGGCTTTAGTTAGGGCTGGGCTCTAGTTGCCTGCCCCAGCAGTAGGTGCTTTGGCTGCCCTGCCCTTCTGTTTGGGTGAGTGCCAGGTGTAAAGGTGCTGTAACATCACTAATGTGGCAGGTATCTCAACAGAACCATGTGTGCCTCGTGGTCTCCTCTAGCTGTACCGATCTATCTGTTCTTCACATGTGCTTTCGCTGGTCTCCGTGATCACCTCCATCAGCCCCACGTAGTCACCTTCAGCTAGAGAGATGCCAGAGTCATTGGGGGATGGATTCTCTGCTCGTCTTGCTGCTTTTGTAGCAGGAGTATTAGTGCTTCCATTTCCAGTATCTCTTGTGGTCCTGGAAACCTCTCCTGAATACTGGTCTGGAGCACTGGCTGTATCTTCTAAACCTGGGCTGTGAGCCTCGGGGCCCATGTTCCCCATGTGGGATCTCTCCAGCACTGGAGATGTTACGGGAGTGAATGAGAAGCAGAGGGAGGTGTTTCCTCCAGGGGTTTTGTTACTGGGGGTGTGAAAGGCACTTGAATGCTCAGAATTGGGGGTGGCTGATGCTGTGTTCTCCAGGGTTAGCCAGAGTGGGTGGGAACCCTTCAAGCTCTTCAGACTCTTGAAGCTACCCTGCTTCTCAAGGTCTGGGGACTCTGCCGAGAAGGGGAATTTAGGGCTGTCTGATGATGTGGTCTGAGCTTCTAAACTGCCTGCGGGGGCAGCTTCTCTGCTTTTACTGTTAGAGTTGCTCTTTTCTTCTGCTGTTACCACCAGTGAGTCAGGACCTTTGCTCCTATCTGTTGGCCAAATAAATGTTTCTTTTGCACCTGAGCCAAGGGAGGTCTGGCTCTTACACGTATCACTGACCCTGGAAGGCGAGGAGTTGACAATGACGTCCCTAAGAGAAGTTGAGCATGCGGCGATGCTGGAGAGTGCGGGTGGCTTCTTACGGCCTTGGCGTCTAGAAGGGAAAATCATGGGGACAGAGCTGATCGGTGTCTGTGGAGCACTGTAGAAACCCGGTCTTTCATAAAATGGGGTTGACATGAAGGCATCAAACTCCCTTAGTTTTCCATCTTCGCTGTCCCACTGCTCCTGTGAGCTGGAGTCTCCTCTTGGCTGATTGATGCTGCAAGGGCTTCCAGACTTGCCCGTGTCTTGGTATGCATAATGGGGGAAGGGGGATGTGGGGTCTCCTCGCCTGCGCAGCAGGTTCATCCGGGAAGAGGACCTGGAGAAGCTTGGTGACTGGACGCCAAGGAGACGGCCCAGGTGTCCTAGTAATGGTGTGGAGTGGTTTGCCTCCTCGTTCTCTTTGATTTGCTCCAGGGGCTGGAACTCCATCTCTTCTTTCTGCATGCTGGGGAAAGGCAAAACAGGCTGTTACACAGCCACAGGAGGAGGTGGTTTCTGGTTGAGAGACTGGCAGCAGAGGGGCTGCTGCTGCCCGTGGCAAACCTCTCGCTTCTTGTATTGCCATTAGATATGTGTTAGGGCCTCCACAATGGGGATGCTTATAGTAGAGGGAGGGGGGGCATGAGGTCAGAGGTATCTTTTTCCATGGAGGATGTTGGCTATCATCTTTGGATGAGGCTAAAAGTATCTCTGAGCAAGATTTCACAGACTATGGATAAAGGTATACTGCTCACTCTTACCTGTCAAGTATAATGTAATTCACAAGACCTGATCCAAGGTGTGAATGTGGACTGTTCTGACTGGTTGCACTTACCTGATATCAAAAGTTGAGCCAAGGAAGGATGGGCGCTTGTACTCAGCAGTGGCTGCGGTGTAGGGTGGCTGGGGATCAGGTTCATTCCAGTATAGATCCTTCTCCAGAATGGGCAAATTCTGATGCATCTCATCCACTGCCATAAGGGAGACCTGTAGGGGACAGCAGCAACGTCATACGGGGTGAGCAGCCTTACGTGTGTCTATTATCGGTGGACAAAGGAATGCAGGGCAGGAGGAAGCTATGTAGCAAAGAAGCGAGGCAAGTGGCTGGGTTTCCGGTGTGGTTTCCTGTCACTTGGGTTGTTTTTCACATGGAGACATTTGATTAATCCACTCTCCATAATCTTTGAGAAGT